GTTATAACTCCAGTTACATACGGAACGAACATGCTGACTATAATAACTATCAGCAAAATTACTTTACAGAACAAGACACCTACAGGCACAACACGGCTTTTGATTTCTTTTAACAGCAGGGCCCCGCCCTGCAGAGTGGTGCTCACTAGACCACTTCAAAGACAGGAGTGAGAAAATCTTACAGAAGGGAGATTGAGTGCAGAAGACCATATAGGATATATTCAACAACAAGCAGTATTATTATATAGATATAACTGTCAGATAAGGGACTATGATGGTGAAAAAAAATCACCAATAAACTACAGTATGACACTAGAAACAAAGTAAAGATAATTATTTAAGACATTACAACAGATTATCCTGTCCAGTCTTTATAACTGTACTCTGCTGGATAAACGGGTGTGCAATTAGAATTTGTGGTAAAAGTCACCATCACAAGGGCCTTTGAATGTGTGGCTCTTTAAGCAATATATCTGTCCCATTGCAGTGACTCTTCTCACTGTGATCTCCCTCTCTGCCTTACAACCCACCAATTGTTGTCAGCATCACTACAATAATTGGCACTACCCTCAAGGGAAAATGAGCTAGCAAGCACCTTTTGTTGAGCCTAAGCTGTACCACAGTCCCATGTTACTGAGTTTGAGCATCAAAGTGTGGCCCAGTTCATTAAGTAGATGCCTTACTTGCTATGGCCATTGCATAATTTTGATTAAGAATTACTTACGGATATACGGACATAATTATGGACATCATAATGTTCCATTATAGATATTCTAAATAAAGTATTTCATGTAATTTGTTTCAGACAAGGGGAGAACAAAAATCAATTTATGGCCTCTGTAAACTAATCCTAAAATCTGAAGAGTATGCAGAAGCAAAAACTCTTGGATTGCCAAGACTGAAAAAGACATTCTAGCTGAAGACGCACAGTGACATATTAAAATACTACATAACAAGTAAGCAAATATGGCTGCAGTGTAACTTAATGTAAATGTGGGGACAGTGCCTGGAAAGTGAATGAACTGCTTTGGCCTCTGGTACCTGCCTAGGGTTCTGAATTACCCTGTATACTGTATCTACCGGACGTCATGTGTCTGATGATCATCAGCTGAGTCATGCTGACTTGCAGTTTGGGCAAGGGCATTTTTAGCTTTGTCTTAAAATCTTTCAGGAGAGAAAAACGTTTTTTTTTTTCTTCTGAGCCATCAGTGACAGAAGATTTTTTTTTTCATAGAAACGGCTTCCTTCATTATATAATGCCTATTGGAGCTTATTAAATTACCACTTGAGGCATGCTAAAATATAAATCGGGATATCCATTTATTGGCAAATTAATGGCAAAACTAAATCAGTGTATGGCATGCCATTTCTTTTCATAAGCCAACAGGGAGCACCACTGTAGGTGTCTTTGCTGATAGAATTTCTGCCCCCTTGTATTTGGTGAAAAAAACCTCTTGTACAGATTGCAGATCAACTGTTTCTCATTACGCCATACATCCTTGAAACCATGAGCACATTTCCACTCCAAGCTGTCAAGTAGTTTCCATGCTTCAATTATTGCTTTTTGTCCCTTCTATATTGTTACAGCTTTAGGTGACTGAGAACTGTCTCTTAAATTTTAGAGGTTTGTGACACTTGGAAGAGTAAACACTTCTAGCTTTGAAGTACAGAGGATGTTTGCTGAGGTCTGGGGGTCCCTTCAGTAGAAACAATTGTAAAGTTTACCTTGGTATACTGTACCTAGATAGTTGTGGGTAAATGATTGTCAATGAGCAGTACAGAAACACATATTATACATAGTAAGTTCACATTAAGTGCACAGAGAGAGGAGAAGAAACCAGGAGAAGCAGGGAAGGAGGAGAGGACAGGTGAGAGGAGAGACATGAGTCTGGCGACAGCCTCTATTTCATGATCGTCCAGACCAAACCTGACTCGAGCAAAGTATTTGAAGCTTGTTAGAGAGAGCTTGCTATTTTGTGTTTTTGGGGAACTTGGGTTTCCTGGGTAAAGATACCTCAGTTAGAAATGTCTTTCCTGCGTAGGGTGCATTTTTAGAAGAAGGAGATAGACTCCCATTTATTTTGTGGCACATGGGGTGCAGAGAGAGATTTAACTGCAGGTTGTATCACATTTATTTAGCAGGCAGCTTATCTCTTATTTGGCCTTTGTAGGCATTAATGAAGAGTTCCATACTTAGTAGGGGGTTTTTCTGGGTGATTAGGATGTTAGGCCTCTGAAATGCAACTTGAGTTGAGTTTTATAGTGTCTAGTGTAGTTTGTGTCTTGTTATTGTAATAAATATTTGTTTAACCAAGTATGACTGGATTATTACTGCTCTCATCCAAAGCTGTGCCAGAGAATAAAGAATTCACATGCCTCTAATTATACCAGACGCTCGGTTACATTCAAGAGAAATCACTTACAATTTTGGGCTTATGAATAATTAATTATTGACAAAACCACTTGGTCAATTCCCAATGTTTTCCAAATTTCGTAACCCCCCATTTGTAACAATATATAAAATCAAACATTGACAATAATGGGGAATCACAGATAGAAAGCATCAGTTTCCTATATTGATATTTAGTCAAGAACACACAAGTTTATGAGAGGATTTGACACTACCTTTCAAAGTCCTGAAGGAAATTGCCGAAGTCAACCCCGATTGACTACTTCATGCTTAAGAAAGGCACAAATGTTTGCAGGCAGACCTCAAAACACAAGTGAAAATTAAAAGGAGGCTGGTAAATATGGGACTGTAAATATGGAGCACTTGTTTACAAGGGGAACAAGTTACCCAGTCATATTGTTGCAGCTGACTCATCTGGATCTGCACAAGGGGTGCCTTGTGAGGAGTCTCAGATCAATATCCTACTAATATCCAAAGGATATCACACAATTGCCTCAGCATGATTCTGTCCATTCTTTAAATCATAAATTGTCAATGCAAAAATAAGTCTTCCCTTTCCTCACAGTGTGTTTTCAACTGAAGCTCAGGACTTGCAAGTCGACTCTTTTACAGAAAGAACCCCAGTGAGATTGGGATGAGTATGTCAGCTTCCTGCACAGTTTAGATAGGACACGTTGATTGCTCTCTCAGCTTGAAAGGCCTCAAGTGGCTTATCTCCATGTTCCCAAAGCGAGCTATTTGTCTGGTAAGCTCCAAGTTGCATCTGAAGAAGTCAATGTGCTATATTACTGTGCCTTCCTAAAGTCCAATGTAAAAAAGAGCTTATTTTAAAAAAATGGACATAAAATTATATAATTGTTTGCAGCCTCTGACAAAAGACCTTTTTTAGCTAGTTTTGTTAGCCCAGTTCACAGCCTTTAGAAATAGTTATTTTTCCTCATCTTATTCTCAATTTTTTTTCACATTTTGTATTGTTCCCTTTTAATGTACAGCAACTCAAGACATGAGAAACAACACCTGCCACATCTGAAAGAAAACCATTCACATGTCACTTTGCTTATTTGCTTGTCTACTTGCCTATGCTTTTGCACAAAAATATAATTGAAAGTCAGGGTAAGTCCAACTCACACATAACCGTTTTCCCTCTATTTAATGGTAACCATATCTTTGCAGTCAGAGGAGAACAGGAGCATGAAGGTCAGTAGGAATTTCTAAATTTAAAATCACTCTGTGTTGCTTGCTAATGCAATGAACGCTTGCTTCACTCGTTTTCAATTTAGCCTACCGTTTTGTGCTGCTGATACCTCTAAATTAATCAGCAAACGAAGCATGTTTTCTGTCTCAACTGTTTTAATACAACCAGTTTTTACTTTTTAGTTCAGCTCTCCTTACCTTTTATGAGTTACCTACATCGGTTTAGGCACTGAACATTAAAGGCCATTGGCCCACAGCTCAGCTTCTATTAAAGAGCTTCTTCGCAGAGCAGTCCTGGCACTCTAAGACAGAAGCCTACAGAGTAGATCAGATGGTTGGCTATTGACCGCAAGTTTGGAATATGTGATTTTGATTTGACCACATTTTGTCTGACAGAGTTGTCGCTTGACTGTCTACCCAATGGAAAATGAAATAGGGAGATGGGCTGGAATTTGGTGAGTCAAACCTGTGATTCAATGTTCAGACATACTGTAGGTGTTTTACTTATTGGCTCTGGCCTGCTGTCTTATGACAGGTCTTCTTTTTCCAATATAAAAAAACTAACTTATTCATTATCAGATAATGAAAATAGCACTTAAAATGTAGACACAGATCATCAGCTTTGCAAGTCCTTATGAGTTCTGAAAGTATTTCAAGGGGGACTTATTTTTTTACAAAAACAAAGACACCATGTCAGATTTTAGACTTTCAAAATCACACCTGTCAGTCCCACAGTCCAACAATCAACAGTCATGCGGATATTTGATCTGAAAGGTGTTCAGGCTGATATTTGGCTCTGCTCTCGGGGAAGTCTGAAGTTGGGGGAGAATAACCAGACAATTGTTAATGGCCCCTGTCTGCCATTAGGAAAGTTCATGGCACTTGTGGCTTTGTGGAAGTACACTGTCCAGTCCTGTAACGTCTCGCATAGAGAAAATCTGGCAACTGACAACCTGTCTTTTTCTGTTCATCTCTTGCTGAATTATTTATAGGCTTCTCATCCCTCAGGGCCTGACCAAAGACATATAAGGCTATTTTAGTGGCCTGTCTCTTTCAGTAAGAGTTGTTTGAAGATGCGCAGCCCTCACTTTCTTTCAAAACTGATTTTAAAGAACTAGAGATCTATCATATCTCTCCATTCCTGCACTGTACACTGTCCTCGCCCTCTTCAATACCTTCAATATCTAACGCTGGATTGTAAAATGATAGATTCTTACTTAAATACCTTTTACTGGGTGCGATGAGATGGGCCATTTAGAAGTACAATGCCCTCCATAAGTACTGGGACAAGGAATTGTTTGTCTGTGCAGTGAACCCTTCTGATTGTGACCAAACCAAAAAATACGTGTTTTTTTTTCCCCTGACCTGATGAGAGAATGCACGACCATGAACTCACCAGTGCGTGTTTCTGGCTAAAATTAAACTGCTGGATCCTTTTGGTCGAGGGTTCACAGCTGGGATGTCCTTGTCAACATCTCTAAAACAAAAAGGAGAAAGAAACAGATGTTGTTATAGAGACAGAAGGGAGTAATGTACAGTAGCAGCTATACAATCATCTGAAATATGAGAACATCCAAGTCTTTAATTCTAGGGTGAAGGGCGCTTTACTTCCTGACATTAAGTATTTATAATTTATTTTAAGTAGTGTAAAGTCTAATAAAAAAGTTTATAGATATCCTGGAAGAAGGTGGTATGGTTGCACAGTGGTTAGCATTCCTGTCCTGCAGTTCAATTCTGGACCTGAAGTTTTATCTGTGTGGATTTTGTATGTCTTCCCCATGCTTGCATGAGTTTCCTCTGGGTGCTCCAGTTTCCTCCCACAGTCCAGAACCATACTGGTAGATCAATTGGTTTGTGGGACATTTAACCCTGGTGTGAGTGTGAGTGTGTGCATGCTATCATAGAGCATCCTGTCCAGGGTGTATCCTGCCTTGCTCCCACTGCTTGTCAGAATGCGCTCTGGCTCTCCTGCAACCCTGAATGGGATGAAGCAGTGAGAAAGTGGATGGATGCATATCCCGGATGAAGCCTGAAATAATAAAAAATCCATACTGAGATGTAAGTTTTGTTGCTTCTGTTGTGTGGGTTAAAGTCAAGGGTCCAGAGCTTCGAAGCTCTGACCACACTCTTCACGGAAAGTCTGCCACACACACCTGCCCTAGCTCTGAGAAGGGGAAAGCACTTGGCAGGAGCAACACTGGAGGCAGACCGTACACCTGCTACTGCCCCTGGTGGTCAATGTCAAAATCCAAAAAAGGAGGGTAATGCCAATCAAAAAAGAAAAAAAGAGAACTAATCACAGCCTATTAAAATGAATCCAGCAGGAAGGGCTCTGTCAAAAACAAACAATAGCAACCCAATATAAAGTGACACATGTCTCTTTTGATTGTGATTTCTTCACTTTTTTGAGAATAACCCTGCAAGTTATTTTTTTTTATTTTCTTATGAAGGTCCTGTCTTGTCAGACTACCCAATGTTTAACTGCAGAACATCAAAAAGCAAGGGCACATGTCGGATTATTTCTCATACTCATATATTTTTAACAAAAAGTCTCTGTGGTGTTACTCATCCAAACTAAATGTTCACAGAAGTCATCTTTATGTAACACCACTCTGTGATTCACAGCGTGATCAGCAATACTTGGGAGATTAGACCAGAACTGTCACTTAGCTTTTTTATATCACACACTGATTGGGGCTCAAAGCTGGGCTGACAGCTATTCTGTGGTCTATTGCTCAGAAGCAAAGCCCGATGCCCCCTTATGAGAAGTGTGGTGACCTTACGATCACTTCTTCCAAAACATTTCTGCACTCAGTTAATAAATAAAACAACCTTTTTTATTAGGTGGACTCAAAAGATAAATAATAAAAGCATCAGTAATTAATATTTGCATGTGTACACCATGGTGGTATGGTGATGTGCTGCCTGGCACTGCTGCCTGCTAGCTCTTGGGTCCAGGATGTGATTCTGAACTGGAGAACCTTCTGCGAGGAGTATGCATGTTCTCATCCATGGTTGCTCTGGTGTTCATTGGCGTTACAGTTTCCTCCTCCAAACCAAAGAAACACCAGCCGGATTAACTGAAGTGGGTTGGCACGGAAGCCTACAGTACCACTGACTAGCAGCTTTCTGATTCACAGATGAGATGAAAGGGTCGATGCCTTAATAAGATCAGTGCATATCAAAATGGATCCCCCTGATTCATCAGCCAGTGCCGAGGGGTGGCGTGCCCCATCCCCTTTCATCTTCTGGGCAAACTGAGGACAACTGGCGAAATAAAAGTTTCTAAAACTTAAAAGATGCAGACTGAAAGAACCTGGACAACGCAGCAGTGCAGATTTTTTTGGCCCAGCGAAATCTTAGCCCATGAGCAGTGCTGGTGACACGAGGGTCAAGGAGCCCTGGGTGACTGCCGTCTGTGAAACTGAAGCCGGCTGCAGGAGGCACTCACTCCCACAGCTCCTTGCCAAGATACCGCAGATGCCACTGCTGCCACACAAGTCTTTCTGAGTAGGTGTAACCGAGACAGTCACGGTATCAAACGCTCCAGAACAAAATAACATGTTCTGGTTGCAACATCCCAGGACTGTCCTTAGGGGATAAAAATCAGGACAGCTGTGGTGATTCCGAAACGCACTGCGGACCTTTGTAACGACGCTGTCATCACGCCGCCTGACTTGAAACTCAGGGGTGTTCAGTTGTGTGCGTGGTTGAGGCCAATACAGTATGTGAGCTGCATTAATTAGAATTATTCTTTTTTAAATGAAAGTCTTGAAACACAGTGGAGAAGGTTAACTGGTTAAAATCAAGCTGGCTTACTTGCCTTTTTGAATTTCATCAAAGTAAAAATTCATTTTAATATACAGGATTCCATACTTTATTACCATTACAACTAGTTGCATGGGATTTGGTAAAGCACACAGTGCACACAAATGTTTCACGAGCACACAGTGTTTCAGCTGTGCAGCATTCTTCAGGTGTGTGTCAGTTTCCACAGCTGGGAAGCTGTACTTTCCAGTGTGGGATTTACTTTTACTTGTTCCTAACATGCTGTTGCTAAGAGCTCGCAGTCTGAACCTCATTTTAGAATGTATCTATTTTACTGTAGCTATCGGAGCACCAGAATTTATTGAAATACAAATAAACAAATGGTCTGATCTGATATTTTGTGCAATACTGCACAGTAACTGTCTTCTGTGTGCATTGCATTAATTTCAATAGCAATGAAGCTGTCCTTATTACTGTTGTATCTGTAATGATCAGTGATTTGTGCCACTGGGAGAATTGCTCATTGAAAGACGCTTGAGACATATTTGGGAAACTCAAAGAGACAACGGTTTGGAAATATGTGTCATAAAAAGTAAGCAGCAATAGAAAAGAAATGAAAACAGCAGAGCAGAGAAACATGTTGCCTTTATCCCAGGACATCTCCTGTTATTATTACTGGCAGCTTCAAAAATGCCCCTCAACCTCAAATTAAAATTAGTAAATTTTCATATTAGTAAGCATGCTCAGCATATGTTACATTTATGTAAAAGCAAAATGCAATAGCATTTATGTTGGCTTTGTCTGACCTCCACAAAAGCAGACTGCACTTAGCAGTCCCATATTTACTGTACATTTTAAAATTTAGGAGAAAAAACATTGCAAATCAAGCTGCCTTTGTTAATTTAAGAAAGTATGAACAAACCCCAAAATTGTAGTAGTGATGAGAATCTTTTTGACGTTTTGTCTTTTTCTTGGTTTTAGGGGAGATCACATCGCCATATGGACAAGGAAGTCAGAGCCCCACAAAAAAAGATAATACTGCATTGGTGTTTTGAACCCCACTTACCAAAAAGAGAGAGTCTTCGTAATGTTGGAAACTCTACCATCATTTTATTCAAATCCTGTTGAACAATTTACACATCGATGCAGTCTCTGAGTCTTAATATATGCTAAATGACAATTTTATAGGTTGATCCTAATCTCCCTAAAAAGGCTGAGATAATGCTGATGTATTTTCCTCGGAACACAGAATATGCTAAAACGGTTTACCTATTCATAAATGGTTAAGAGATTCGGTCTAGCAAGGATTACTAAAAGCAGAAGAGCATACTGTATTTGCAATGGTACTAACATGTAATTCTTTCACCTGAGTAACAGACCTTGATTTCCCTGATGGATGCTGAGAAGTTAATACAGGCTTTTGTATATTCATGAGCACACTACTGCAATGTTTTACATCTTTGTGTATCCAAGACAATGTCCTTATAAAGCTGCAGTCTATTCAGAATTCAGCACCCCAGAGTTTAACTAAAAGTAAATCTCATGAGCATATGACACCAGTCTTGTCTTTAGTTGCCTCTCTCCTCCTGTATTTGTTTGACATGTACGACTTGAAGCCCAGCACTGAAGAAAACCACTCATGTGTTCATACATTACCCACAGTATTTAAATGTTTTTAAAGACTATTTTAAATACATCTCACCTGGACTTTGACAGTTCTTTTGTTCACCCTGTGGTTGCAAGGCTTTATATCTTATCCTGCTTTTACCTCTATTAAAGAAAACTCCCCTGAGATATCAGATTTTCACAAATGACCATATAAACAGTTGTTCTGAGAACCAGGCAGGGGAAACTCTGGGAGAATCACATTTATAATGTAGTTATTGAGTGATTTTAAACAGATTGGCTCCACAAACCAGCTTGATGTACTGTACCATGACATGACATCACTTGACATCACCTCTAACTTCAACAGCAGTTGAAGCACTTTCTATTCCTAGATTTCTCCTGTCATTGGAGTTTCCATATGGGCAGCAGCTGTAACCCTGCGTCACATTAATAATCAACTGTAAATGTGTTCTCCTGCTGTCTGGCTGTGCGGGAGGTTAAAGTAGGGAGGAAAACCAACATTTTGTTTTTTTTGGTATTACCAAACAACTTGATATAAAAGTGTATTTTTGAGGTAGCCTGCAACTGTTGAGAAATATAGTATTACGTCAATATACTTTAAGCTTTTGTGTGTAAAGACAAAAATCCCATTTGCAGCCAGATGCACAACATCTGTCGCCCCATAAACTTTCTACCCCTGTCCATCTCCTGTTCACCACACCTCCATCCTGGCTGACCATGCCCCTCTGAGCTTTGGGGTTCTCATTTTTTTTTTCTTTCTCACTACCTAAACCCCGTTTTTAAAGGCTCCACTGTCAGCCTACAGTAGGAAGGAAACCATAGGGGGATAAAACGCTTCTTGAAGAAAATGCAAGACGCGTCCCCCGGCGTTTGTTCCGCAGACAAAGGGAGAAGAGACAGGCAGGCAGGCAACAGCACGACGGTCGCAGGAGCCGGGTATGAAATATGAAAAGCTCAGGCGCCGTTACCATTAGCGGCCCCCGCGCGCGTGATGCGATGTGACAGCGGGAGCCGCACCGCGAGGTGGGGAGGGAGGGGGGGGAAATGAATTCGTAAATGGCGGCCTCGGGGCGCCTGGGC